TACAATATATATAAGGTTCACACTTAATATACTAATCTACATATATACATACTCACTATCTACACACACATTACCTTCTGTCACGTTGGCACCCTCTTTTATATACCAGACTACCCTATATCTAGTAAATGCTAGAGCATTCGCCAAAGTACAGGATAGTTCTAGAAAGTAGAGGGCGTGAGAATAATCACGTGATCTCGATGACGCAACAATACATATAACTTACAATGATTTCATCCGAATACCCAAAGTATAAATATAACGTCAACAATGTTTTCATCTGAATACCCAAAGTATATATATCTAACTTTAACAATAAGTTCATCCAACATCCATATACACAAACTATGAATATAACTTTGACACTTAATGTCCTAATTTAAACACATAAAATGTAAATGTAACATTAACACTTAATGTCTTAATCCAGACACTCAAAGTATAAATGTAACATTAACACGTAATGTTGTAATCCAGAAACAAAATGTATAAATATAAAGTTAAAACTTAATGCTCTAATCCAGAAATACAGAGCATAAATATAATGTTCACCTTTAATATCCTAATTCAGACACGCAAAGTATAAATATAACGTTGACACCTAATGTCCTAATCCAGACATAGAAAGTATAAATATCTTTTTTTCGCTTAATGTCCTAATCCAGACATACAAATTACAAATGTAACATTAACACCTAATTTGTAAATCCAAACCCACAAAGTATAAATATAATGTTCACATTTAATGTCCTAATTCTGACATGGAAAGTATAAATAAAACTTTGACACTTAATGTCCGAAACCAGACATACAAAGTGTAATGTAACATTAACTTTTCATGTTGTAATAAAAAAACAGAAAGTAAAAATATAACATTAACACTTAATGCACTAATCCAGAAATACAAAACATAAATGTAACGTTAACACTTAATGTACTAATTTAGATATACAACGTATAAATGTAACGTTAACACTGAATGACCTAATCCCCACCTACAAAGTATAAATGTAACATTGAAACTTAATGTCCTAATCCAAAACCACAAAGTAAAAATATAATTTTGATAGTTACTGTCTTAATTCATACATGGAAAGTATAAATATAACGTTGTATGTTTGTATGTCCTAATCTAGACATACAAAGTATTGTTACGACAGCGGAAGTCAGGTGACGCTGCTGGCGCGTTGGCGCTAGTAGAGCATGCGTGAAGGAGTTTCTCGAATTATCAGGGAACTCCTCGATCTTTGTCGAAGCCTTTTTTGTTAGTATATAAGCCTGGCAAGAAAAGCCAGCGAAAATGGAATGTATGGTTAAAATGAACAATAGTCACGGTAAGTTATCGTGATTGTGAATCGCTGTGATTTATAGCGTGTGTATAAAAGTAGTTAAGTTGAAAGTGACGAGAAAGGTAGTGATTGTGAAATTACTGTGTACTAAAAGTTTGTATCAAGAAAGAATAAACTAGTTTAATCAAGAAAGGACTTGTATCGCTGAAGTTCCTCGGAAAGAATTTCTACTAGAAATTAACAAACAAGCAGAAACCTAACAAATTGGTGTCAGAGAGCGGGACGAAAAAAAATAAGATGGAAATGAAAAGTGGCAAATCAAACTACGACTTAGCAGATTTGATGGCAGCAGTAAAAGAAGAGCAAAAGAAACAAGAAGAGAGACAACAGCAGTGGCGAGAAAACCTGCAACAGTGGTGGCTCGAACAGCAAAATAAACAAGAAAAGAGATTACAGTAATTGTTGGAGGAAAAAGAGAAGAAACAAGAAGAATGGGAAAATAAACAAGAAGAGAGACTAAAGCAGTGGTTGGAGGAGAAAGAAAAGAAACAAGAAAAGGGACTACAGCAGTGGCAAGAAAAACAGCATAAGTAGCAACTGGAACAAGAAAAGAAGCAGGGAGAAAGTATCCAATAGTTGAAAGAAGACCAGTATACACAAATGGAAAATATTAGTAAATTAGTAATTGAATTAAATACATTAAAGAACGATTTACTGTCTTTTACACGGGGAGGATTTATTAACCATGGACCTAATCTGTCCCAGACAACAGGAAGCCCCTTCCAGACCCTGCAGCTAAACCCTATTACAGACATCTTCAGTCCTGTCAGAAGTCACATTCCAGACATGAGTGTCAGCAATAAGGGTGATCTAGTACGAAGGAAACCACAGGAATTCGATGGTAAGGCTCCATGGGAAGCATATAGAGCACAAGTTGAGCTCCTGGCAGAAATGAATGTATGGACAGAGGAGAAGAAAGCAGTGCACCTCGCTACGAGCTTGAAGGGACAACCACTGGAAATACTTGGACAGTTGTTAGCAGACGATAAGCACAACTATAGAGCACTGGTAGCTGCTCTAGAAATCAGGTATGGAACTCAAAATCAGCCCGAAGTCTAATGGGCGAGGTTTAGGATGAGAGACCGTGCTAAAAGGGACAGTCTGCAAGAGCTGGCACAGGACTTGGAAAGTATGGCCCACAAGACCTACCCAACTGCGCCACCCAGTGTCCTTAAGCTGTTGCTGAGGGATCAGTTTATAGATGCCTTGGACAGTTCACAACTAAAGTTACAAGTAAAGCAAGCTCACCCCTCTACTATGCAGGGTGGAATGGCCAAGGCTCTTGAATTCGAGTCCTACATTATGTACAGCATAGCGGGAAATTAACAAACGATCAGAGGCGTAACAATATGGCCCGGCATGGCCAGGTGGTTAGGGCGCTCGACTCGCAATCTGAGGGACGCGGATTCGAATCCCCGTCCCACCGAACATGCTCGCTTATTCAGCCGTGGTGGCGTTATAACGTGACGGTCAATCCCACTATTCGTTGGTAAAAGAGTAGTCCAAGAGTTGGCGGTGGGTTGTGATGACTAGCTGCCTGCCCTCTAGTCTTACACTGCTAAATTAGGGACGGCTACCGCAGATAGCCCCCGCATAGCTTTGCGCGAAATTAAAAAAAAACAAAAAAAAACAAACACGCATAACAATATAACTTTGATTAAATTTCAAGCTACTAAAGGGCTACATGGTCTAGCTATCTCTAATTTAAAAGAGAAATACTTGTAGGAAAGCATCTAGTCAACACCACTCACTGCCAAAGTTTGACCATCACATTCTAATGCTCTCACGCTGTTTGTTTGTTTGGTGCTAAGAGCAAAGTTCACAACGGGTATCGAAACCCGATTTTTGTAACATAAGCCTTCATACTTACCACTGAGCTGCTTTGAGGACTCTCACAGCAGAAAGGGCGAGTATGTTCAGTGATGGGATTCCAACCCGCGACTCGTAGATTGCAAGTCGAGCACCCTAACCACCAGGTCATTTTGGGCCAAAGAGAGACAGAGCTTTCAAATAAATTTAATAAGAAAGAAACATAAGATTGAAAGAAGAGAAAGAACAAAAATTAGAAAAACAAAAGAAGATCAAGAAGAAATATATATAAAACTAAAAGATGATCAAAAAGTAAGAAAGAGATTAGAATTTACGAGAAGATTTAATACTTGAAGAAGAATTAAAATCAAGCTATTAGAGATGTACTGGGAATTATAATAACAAGATTGAAGATGTACTGAAAAGCTGTAACAACAAAATTAAAGATGTACAGAAATACAAATGTTAATAAAGCAAGCTTTTTATTATTAGGTATAACTAAATATGTAATACATTTTTTTGTTTTTCATAGTTATTTTTGAAAAGTTTGAATTTGATAGTCTTAGGTAGCGCTGTAAAGTGAGCATTAGGCTTAACGTGCTTAGCATTATAAGAGGTAATGGATGTGTGTGTATATATTTGTACACTTTATGTTGTTTACATTTTTGATTAATTATTAAGGTAAGCAAGGTGTGTTTTTGTTGTTGTTTTTCTCAAGGGAAGCAGCTAGCCTTATAGTAAATTTAAATAGTGGACATTTCTGCACAATTGCATTTAAATGTTGTAACTTGTAGTACTAGTAGTAGTAATAGTGCCATGTAGCTATTATTATTAATATTACGCCATTTTCGGTGCCCAAAATAATGTATTTCTTTGGTAATTAAAATGGTATGGGTGTATAGAATGTCATTTTTGTTAACATAGTGTCAGATTATATAAAAAAGTTAATTATGGAAAAGTACACAATATAGGTTAAGTAATTTTACTTAGTTTTTCATAGAAAATAGTTTACTTACACCGTTACAGATATAATTATATATTACATATTCCTGATCAATTTTAATTATTTCTGAAGATTCACCAAATAATAGTATTACTTATTAAAAACTATTCGAATTTTAATCTTAAACTATTAAAAAACATTAAAATTAAAAAGAAAATGAATTTTGATTGAAAAACCAATAACAATTTATGCAACCAATCAAAATTCAAAATATCTAAACTATTAAATCTGATGCAGAAACGTTCAGAGGAGCTGCCAAATTGGCTTTCACTGGAGTTGAAATATCCATGTTCCTTAGTTGTGTTCTACCATCCATACTACTGGCAGGGCCTTTATCTCTAGTACATTTCAAGTAGATATACTTTACTGACTATATCTATGTTTTCCTCATAGTGAATACAAAGCATGTTTGAGTCTATAGTCTTTTTCAGTTTCAGCCCTGTAGTTTTTTTTTTAAGTTTTTTGGTAATTATACCTACTGCACTTTGGCTATTTGCACAGGTAATCAATAGTTGCAAGATTCATAACTGAATTAAATTCATATAAAAAGACTATTCTACAAATTTTGCCATATCTAATTTGAGATTTTTAATATATGTGTGGGAAAAATGGAAAATTTTAGCATGAAAAATTAAACATTGCTAATATATACTCATCACTTCTTTGTTATTTATATCTTAAAAAATTACTGCCTCATTATGTGGTTTAAATATTTGATGTTTCATTATATTAATGTTTATTTGGCATTCTTGTGTAAATACTAAGTATAAGGTCATTTCAGTATAAAATTCACAACATTCCAAGTTCTTAAATGTGGAGGAAATTTCTTCACTGTACCAGATATTTAGAAAAACTAATTATGATCACTTCCTTGTCAATTTTGGTAAAAATATCCATAAAGAGAGATTATTTTTGGTTGTAATATTTGTTTTTTAAAGTCTTTCAAAATGAACAAGCATTTCTTGTACCAGCACAGAAATGTACCTGCACATTTTATGTATTTTTTATCATACAAATCACTTTGCCTCCTTGAACTGACATGTATTAACTGCTAGTAGAAATATTAACATGGGACAGTACCTTTCCTGGAATGAATAAAGGTGTACAAAAACACCATTAAAATAATCTATTTTGCCAAAGTTATTTTAATTTAAAATAGTTATATAAAAGTGGATGGAATGATAATTTTTGTTTACTCCTGAATTTCAGAGAAACAATGGTTTTGGAAAGGTCTGATGGACGGGACTGTTGGAAAACAAGAAGAACTATAATAAATGTTGGTTCTATAGGCACAGCCTATGGGTCAGCTCTTGTGAGGCGGGGAAAGACAACAATAGTTTGTGGTGTTAAAGGGGAATTGGCTAACTCCAGACCTGAGAATCCAGGAGATGGATTTCTTGTTGTAAACCTTGACCTTCCACCTCTTTGTTGCCCACTCTTTAAACCTGGTCCACCTAGTGAACAGTCCCAATCTATTTCACAGTTTCTTAATGATATTGTCACCAGTTCAGGCTGTGTGGTTCTTTCAGATTTGTCTATTGAAGGTCAGCTTGTTTGGTGTCTGTTTGTAGATATAATTTGCTTAGAATATGATGGTAATGTAATTGATGCAGCAGTACTGGCAATGTTAGCTGCTCTCACAAATACAAAGTTGCCCAAGATTACTGTAAGTAATGACAATGGAGAAATTAAAGTTAGTGAAGCACTTGAAATACTTGCTGTAAAATCACAGCCTGTAACCACTACCTTCGTTTATCAACAAGATGGTGGTCATGTGATGGTAGATCCATCTTTTGAAGAAGAATATGATGCAGCTGGCATATTAAGCATAACTTTACAAGAAGATGGTAGTCTTGTAAAACTTTACAAACCTGGAGGACTACAGTTACCAGACTCTGTACTTGAACAGTGCATTGCCAAGGCCCGAAGTTTATCAAAAGATATGTGGCATTTGTTAAAAACTGTGTCAGAAACTGTTGAAACATAGATGGAAATGTGTCTGTTTAATCCAGAACTATTAAAAGTATTATCTTTGTCAAATGTTTTTTGTTTTCTACATCTAAATTCCTGTGCTTAATTATCCTAGTAAAATTATATACAATGTTAGTAAGTATGTGTATAAAAACTGTAATGATTATAGTCCTTAAAAGGCAGTTTTGAAGTTGAAAAAAAAAAACAACGAAAACATTTATCACAGTAATACTTGATGTAAAGTAGTGAAAGTTATGTGGAACATCCAATCAAAAGTAAGATAATTTAAATAGTAACTTACAAGTTACTGAGGTCAATCCTGTATAACAAAGTGGATGGAAATACCAAAAATTAGAATATCAGTTGAATACAATTTTTCTAAACAGCTGTACTATCATGAGGTTCCACTAGCTTATGTTATTTATATTAGTCACTAGACCACCCTTGACCCGTTGGGTCACCCACTATTCAGAGGTTATGAAGAATTAAAGCTAATTTCAATATTGCACCGAAATGAAGGTTTATTTTGAGATAATTTAATTAAATATTTCAATCCATTCGTGTTATTAATAATTCAAGAAAATATATTTGATTGTTGATCAGGAGTAAAAGGAAAGACAATTTCATTTTTCAAAAAAGTGAAGTCAGAATTTTCAGGTATTGTGATGAACAAACCTTATTCACAGTTGATTCAGAATGCCTGAAAATAAGAAATAACAGATCATAGTAATGTTATTCATGGTTTATTAGAACGTAATTACTATCAAACAACCAAAAAAAGCTACTTCAGAAAAACATTTCATACTTACTTGCTCAAATTACTGCAAGAAACATCAAAACTTGATAACTGATACACCACGAAATTCTTGAAATGAAAAATCTTTCTCACTGTCTCACATCGAATGATTTTTTGACTTAGAAAATTTTCTCATTTCCTTACCTACTATAAACAAGGCACATTATTGAGAAATTCTTCAAGATCTTGATTTTGTCATCTTATGCCTTTTAATGAAGATGAGAACATTGACAGGGAAATAGATTTGAATGAAAAAGTTTCATAAAGAGCGCAAACAGTAGTGTGATGTAAAATTACTCATGCTATAAATTTTCATAAAAGTGACCCGCAAAATGGTGCTAACTCTATAACCCATGGCCCAATTTTAACGAAATTTGTTTTATTCTGTTTCTATTTTCATTTTAGGGGGTACTGTATTCTTACAGGTATGGTGCTATTGTGTGCTGTATTTAATTACAGACAGGCAAGCAAACAAACAAACAATCTCAAATTTTTAGTAGTATATAGATGAAGCCATGTAAAAAGGTTGGCTGCAATACACATGCTTGAATTAGATTCTATAAATTGAGAATATCATGTTATGGTATCATGGAAAAGCATGGCAACTTTTTATATGGTAATTTGTTCTATTAAATATTATACAAACCATTTAAGGTCTAGCAGAACAGGACAATGACATTACTTTAAGTTTTACAAAGGCCAGTTGAGATTGAACATTCTTCAGTAAAAAAAATGTTAATATGTGTTCTAGAGATAGTGTGTATTCTATGTGGGGGAGATTAAAAAATTTTTTATTAATCGCCCCTCCAATGGGTCAGTGGTAAGTCTGGAGGCATACGGGTTTTGATACCCACGGTGGGCACAACACAGATAGCCCATTGTGTAGCTTTGTGGTTAACATCAAACAAACAAAATTAATTTTATCCAGCTGACTAAAGAGAATATATATCTTCCGTAATTTTGTACTCTAACCAAAAACCCTCTCAGGTGATTAGGTGAACTAACTACTACTAGGTTTATCAAAATGGATATAAAGAAATTAAGAAAACTTTTGTTAAGGCTATAAGGGATGAAAGTCTCTTGACTCAAACTATTGAGTACCAAAGGTTTTTTATGCTTAAGTTTAATTGTAAATAGAGAGTCAAAAATAATATTGGTTCTTCACGATATTTTAAAGGTAATGTTATTGTAGAAGAAAGTAATGTGGCATAACTTTCAAAATATGTTTCTACTTATGAAACAAAGCAGACAAAAAGCAAAAATTCACACAAAAAATTATATAAATGATGCAAAGTTTGGTGATGTAAATAGGTTCAGTACATCTGTAGATATTTGATCTTCAGAAAG